GTGTACCCAAACTTAAAAGTGTATATTTAATTATTTTTAAATTTTTATTTGACCTAAAAAACCAGATAACATTTAGACAGACAAACATATAAGACAATTTAAACTAGAGTGTACCCAGATGGTTTTGGCCAATTGAATTATAAAATCTTTTAGTTATGACTAGTCAAAACCTTTGTAAGTCAATTAACAGATCTCGTAGAATTAGAATCAAAAGGAATGAAAGCTGTTACTATAAAAGTAAACCTTCTGTAACAAACTTGAAACCAACAAGCAAACATACATATTTTCCTGTTAAATCATTTCCACATACCTTTTCTACATACTTAAGCCTTCTGGTCTTGTATATCTTTCTTTATATCTTTCTAACAAGACATGCATACAAAATCCTTTCATATCAAAAGTATACCTCTTTTATCCATTTTTTTTTTTTAATATTTTTCCTCTGCCGTTTCACTTATTATAAACCTTCTATAACAAATTTCAGTTTAAAGTGTCCTTTTTCTTGTTTTCAGATTGTTACATCTTAAAATTTGACTGGCTGCCAATAGAACAGTTAACCTTGAGTAACAAGACATGCATACAAAATCCTTTCATATCAAAAGTATATCTCTTTTATCCATAGTTTTTTTTTAATATTTTTCCTCTGCCGTTTCACTTATTATAAACCTTCTATAACAAATTTCAGTTTAAAGTGTCCTTTTTCTTGTTTTCAGATTGTTACATCTTAAAATTTGACTGGCTGCCAATAGAACAGTATTAACCTTGAGTTTTTATCAACAAAGTACAGAAAAGAGCAAGTTAATCTTATAATCACAATTAAAGAATTTGTATTGTACAAGAAGTGTTTTAAGCACACCAATTAAACTTAACTCAAATTGAAACAAAGATACATTTATCAAATAGTTAAAATTTATAACTTGATTTTTCTTGTAAAATCTCTTTATGTCGGTAAAGCACAGTTTAAGTTTCTCTGGCAGGGTTTTGGATTCCAGACCTTTGTAGGCAGCATCAAGCTGATAACACAGTGTTGGCCTTGGGGCTCTTAAAGCCTGGAGTGGTTTTTTTTGTTTTTTTGTTTTTTTTCTAAAATGAGAGTGTTAAAGGGAGAGTTGGCATGTCTCAGAAGTCTCTTTTGTAAGTGATCATGTACTATGGGAGTTAGTCCCTCTAAGTTAGAGCGGGGGGGGGGATATTGTGCCAAGCTAGGGAATTGTGAGGGATTTTTAAGGAGAATTTTGACAGGGGGACATTTGGCAACTGAGGGAGAGTGGATATCCCATACTTGAGGATTAACAAGAGAGGAGCTAATTGGCCAATTGGATTGGGAAGATGAGGATTGGAGGGCTTGAGATAGTACCAGGCAGAGGGAAGTTGTCGGAGTGTTGGAAGGGTTCGGCATAGAAAAATGAATGGATGTTCCAATTTGAGATAAAATACCGCGGCCTAATAAAGGGACCGGGCAGGATGGAAGGACTAAAAATGAGTGAAGAAATGTAAGATTGCCAATAGTGCATGATAGTAGGAGGGGTCTGGTGTGGTCGTTGTAGTTGGCCTTCTACCCCAACAATAGAAGTCTGAGAAAGGGAGGTAGGCCCCCAGTATTCTCATAGTGCAGAGAAGCTGGCACCAGTATCCAATAAGAAAGAAATGGTCCTACCTGCCACAGTCAAGATTACCCTGGGCTCCTGGGCGGTGATCCGCATTGGGCCAGATGTGCCAGGGCCTCTTCATTGTCCCTCCGTTGTCTCTAGACCTATCAGGTCCGCATGTTGGGAAGCTGTGGGGCTGACGGTCTGATGGCGGGTGGACGCCAAGGGACAGTCTGTGCCCCAATGTCCCCTCTGGTGGCATTTGGGACAGGGCTTAGTTGGCACTCTGGGATTAGGACAGTCCTTTGCCCAGTGGCCTTCCTGATGACACTTGTGACAGGGGCCTGGTGGTTGGGAGCTCTTTTGTAGGGGTTTTCTTTCCTGTGGTGCAGGTGGACTGGTCGAATTAAGAGCTTGTGTTAATAATTGATATTTCTTTGTAATTTTGAGGTCATCTCGGCCATAGTAGGCCTTGAATGCTGTGGCCAGAACCTCTGCCTGAGGGGTCAAGGGCCCCCGATCAAGCTTTTTTAGTTTAAGTCTAATGTCGGGGTAGCTCTGAGAGAAGAAATGCATCATAATTAATCTCTGACCATCCACAGACTCAGGGTCTAGTTTGGTATGTTGACGGAGGCCATCAGTTAGCCTTTGTAAAAAGGTGGATGGATTTTCGTTCTTGTTTTGTATAATTTCATTAAGCTTTTCATAATTAATGGCCTTCATGGCAGCTCCGCGGAGCCCATGAAGGAGACAATTTTGGTACCTGTTTCGAGCTGCAATTCCCACCTCTGTGTTGTAGTCCCATTCTGGGTCTTGATCAGGGACTGCAGCAGCACCTGCTGGGTGGTGATTGTTGGTTAAATGTTCTTGGTCTGCATGTGCATGAGCCTGATCCAGCACTCTTCTATTTTCTTTGGGAGTTAAGGCATTGGTTAAAACTACAAAAAGATCATGGTAAGTTAGTTGATAAGACTAAGTCAAAAGTTGAAATTGTTTTATAAAGGTTGTTGGATGGGCTGTAAAAGAACCAAGCTTGGCCTGAATGAGAGCTAGTTCAGACATAGGAAAAGGAGTATGAACGCGGACAATTCCTTCGGCTCCGGCTACCTCTCGCAAGGGCGCCATCGTGTTGCCCTTGTGTGACCTGGAGGGAGTGAGGGGTGGAGTCGGCGCATGCGGTGGGGCAGTGGGAGGTCCAGGGGAAATGAGAGAGGCAGGAGATTCAGAGGGTTGGGAGGAGTCAGATGGAGCAGGGGGAGGAGTGGAAGGAATTTTTGCTGCAGGATAAGGAGGGGGATCATCTGCCTGATCGAGTTGGGCGGGAGAGTCAGAAGGAGAGGGATTGGTAGCGGAAAGGCTTTGAGTCAGCAAAAGTATTGGAGCAGTTTTGGCAGTGGAACAAAGAGAAGGCTGATTAGCAAGATAGGAAAAGCCTTGGACATATGGGATCTCCGACCATTTTCCTTGTCGCTCACATAAATTGTAAAGGTCTCTAATTAGACCCCATTCAAAGGAGCCGTTAGGCAGCCAGATGTTTTGATTGCCTAATTTATATTGGGGCCAAATTTGAGTAGACAAGCGAATTAGCCGTTTGGGTTTTAAATTAAGACCCTCCAAATTCCTGAGTAAGCATCCCAAAGGAGAGCCTGTGGGTATGGAGGAGCCAGAGCCCCTGACCACCGGGATAAGGAGGTTATCAGAAGACCAGACATCTCCAAGAGTTCTGATAAGACCCCCTCTTCTCTAGACCTGGTCTAGAGGACGGAAACTCGGTTTCTTGCGAAAGCGTCCCTTACACAAGATAGGAGTTTAAGTGAAGCTAAATCCCGGATTTACCTCAAATGTGGCAAACCTGGTGTGCGAGAGAGTGAGGACAGAGCCTGGCGCCTGGCTGTGTCCCAAATGTGATCCCAGTGGGTGGTCTGAGGTCTGGGGTCCTCGTTACCCTGAAGACTTTTCCGAAAGGGGAACTTACCCAAAAAAGTGTGGGTCAGAAGATCAGCAGGTTGGTGGTGGCTGTGAAGATGGCGATGAGGAGAATGGTCGGGGACATCGGGTGGGGGCTGAGCAGGGGCGCCCTAGAATCTGGGTTTTGGGCCTCAGGAGTTTTAGCCTGTGGGCCTGGCAATCCCAGATCCCGCTTCTGACACCAATGAAAGGGGGGTTCACGTGCCCTTTTGCCCAATTATGCCACTCACGCACTGAGAGGTCCGGCAGGAGATCTTTATTGTAGCGAGGCGAGCAGGAGGCAGGAAGGCAGAGAGAGAGAGAGAGAGAGAGAGAGAGA